AAACAGAGCAATGACTCAACTTATGTTGTTTTATATGTTGAGATAATTAAGATGAATACATTTTTTGGCTTTGATGTACATGAATATATTTTGTTTTAGAGTGAAATGTTTTTTTTAAAGTTTTTGAATAGAACCATTTTCTCTTGAATAGAAGGTCACTAAAAATATAAAAACAATTTGTCAGTCAATAAATAAATATTTTTAATTATATCATTTTAAGTATTTTAACGCCATTTTTCGCTGTCAAAAGTATCTAGTTTGCACACTAGTTTCTCCCTATCAAAACTCCTACTCTATGTTCACCTGAGCAAGTTACCCAAGCCTTTCAAGCACAAAACCTTCCTTTGGGCTCCACTAGAACCTTAATAGATAATATACAATTACAATTCTGACCCAAGTCAGTCACCAAATATTTAGGTGTTTACTATGTATCAGGCACGAGCCCATAATCTAGTGGTTATGTTGGACTGTTTGTTGCACAATTTAGATGTTGCCAACATGAGAAGCTTCCACAAAGCTAAGAGACTCAGACCATTTCATTAGTATACAAATTTCTACCTCCCCCAGCCCAGCTCCCCATCACTGCACTTAAGTGACACGCAGCAAATCATCTATAAACACTTGAGGAATCAATGATTACACATAGATTATAGGGGCACCTGGGTGGCATAGTCAGATGAGTGGCCAGCTCTTGGTTTCAGCTCAGGTTGTGGTCTCAGGGTTGTGAGATCGAGCCCCGCATTGGGCTCTGCACTCAGCGCAGGCAGTCTGTGTAAGATTCTCTCTCCCTCTTCCTCTGCCCCTCCCCCCGCATTCTCTCTCTCTCTCTCTCAAATAAATCTTTTTTTAAAACGCACATAGATTATAGAGAAAGGGGAATGACAGCTGAGGAAGCCTTGATACACTAGAACAAAAGAATTAACAGCCGTTCACTTAACCAAGATTCATCACATAGCTATCTGTTGAGAAAACCTCAGAATGAAAGGACAAGGAAGAAGGATTCAAAAACAGCAAAGACTATGGAAGAAGTATTGACATCCGAGAGGAAGGGAGAAGAAAAATGTGGGACTTAACACAAAGACTCAAATTAAAACAAACTACATTATTTTGCCACACTTAATAATTGACACAGGCAAGCTCTACTGGGAAGGTAGGTCTCTATCTAGGACCAGAACCTCTCCCTTTCCAAGTGCCTTCCCCAACAGGGTAGCTGAACCTCTTATAAGGCAGCTCAGGGCTCCCAAAATCATAAAAACAGCTATTAAAGCCTCATTTCTGCTGCATTCTATTGGTTAAAGTGAGTCAAGGGCAGCCCGAATCAGTGCTGTAGGAGAGATTAATCCCCAGAGACCTGGATGCAGAAGACACTGAGTGAAAAGTTTGTGGGGAGCCAGATATTCACATGGTATGGAAGTATCACCTCATACATTACTTGTAGCTCAAAAGGGGTAAACTGGAGGGGTGCATGGGTGGCTCAGTCATTTGTCTGCCTTTGGCTCAGGTCGTGATCTCAGGGTCCTGGGATCGAGCCCCACATCCAGCTTCCTGCTCAGCGGGGAAGCCTTCTTCTCCCTTTCCCTCTGCCGCTCCCCCTGCTTGTGCTCTCTTGCTTGCTCTCTCTCTCTCTCTCAAATAAATAAATAAAATCTTAAAAAAAAAAAAAAAAGGGGTGGGGGTTAAACTGGAATTATACAATTGGCAGATGCAGCTGCAATCTCCTTAAACAAATGATCACACTTAATATTACTGATAGTGGGATAACCAGACACTCATTATGAGCCTCATGATATAAAATACACAGCATCACTTATGAAGTACTCTTACCAGAACTCTTTAATCTGAATCTAATCAGGTTTTAAATATGTGATAGCTAATTTTATACATCAACTTTGCGCCACGGGATGCCCAGGCATTTGTTTAAACATAATTTCCAGGTGTGTCTTAAAAGGGTGTTTCTGGATGGGATCGACACTTGAATCAGTAGACTGGGTAGAGGAGGTTGCCTTCCCCAATGTGGCTGGGCATCATCCAATCCGCTGAAGGCCTGAATAGAATAAAAGGCTGAGTACGAAAGAATTCTTTCTGCCTGTCTTTGAGGTGGGACATTGGTCTTCTCTTGCCTTCGGACTTGGACTTGGACTAGAACTTACACCCTTGGCTCTTCTGGTTCCCAGGCTCTCAGACTCAGACTGGAACTTATACCATCTGCTCACCTGTGTCTTAGACCTTTGGACTAGGACTAGAATTGATATCATCGGTTCTCTTGGCTCTCAGTCCTTCACACTTGTACTAGAACTGCAGCATTTGCTCTCGTAGGTCTCTAGCTCACTAACTGCAGATCTTGGACTTCCTAGACTCCATAATCACGTGAGCTAATTCCTTATATTAACTCTCTTCATCTATATTTGTATCTCTTCATATATCTACTACTGATTCTGTTTTTCTAGAGAACCGAAATATATGACTTCCAAATTAAAGGAAATACAGGAGAGAGAAAAATAAGTTAAATGACATCATGAGGAAATAATCAGATAAATCCTAAAGTTGGGGCAATCTACAAGTTAGATAACCCCTAATCATTAAACTCACGGCAGTAAAAGAAACGAGTATTATTCCAGACGAAGGAGACAAATACAACAATTGAATATAATGCATGGTCCTTAACTTAGATTCTGGCTTGAACAAACCAGCTACAAAATATATTTTGGGGACAAGTGAAGAAATCTAAATAAAGACTTGGCATTAGATAATATCAGGGAATTATTTCAGATTTGGTTATTGTGATAATGATATGATACTGTAAGAAAATATCTTTATTCCTTAAAGACACAAACGAGTATTTATAAATGAAATGTCATGATGTCTATAATTTTAATTTAAAATATTTCAGAAAAAAATTGCCAAAGCAAACTGTAAACCATTAACAGCTATTACCTCTAGGTGATTGGTATCTATGGGTGATTTTACATTAGTCGTACTTTTCAGAATGTTTGAAATTTTTAGTAATTAAAGGAAACAGTAAACAAAGGCAAGCTAAAATAAATAACATAATGAATAAGGGAAACCGTGATAGTCTTCAAAATTGCCCCCAGTGATTCTCGTCTCCTGGTATTCATGCTCCTTCCACAATGATTAGGACTGACCTATGTAATCACTAAGATACTGGGGAAATAGTGTATGACTTCCAACGTTTGGTAATAAAAGGCATTGTGGCTCTGACCTTACTACTTTGTATCACTCTTCGTCACAGGGACACTCAGGTAGCCCTAGGGTGAGGTCCACATAACAAAGAGCTGAGGGCTCTGACCAGTTTCCAACACTAAACTTGCCAACCATCAGAGGGAGCCACTTTGAAAGCGGAGGTGACTACCGCCTTGGCTGATAACTTCACTACACCCTCGTGAGAGACCCCAAACCAGAACCACACAGCTAAACCACTCCCAAGTTTGATCCCCCCAAACTGTGAGATAATAAATGGTTATTGTTTTAGGTTGCTAAGTTTTGGAGCCATTTATTTCATAGTAATACATAACATACAAAAACCAATATGAAAAGGCGCCAACAGCAAACAACGTCCCAAGTATAAAATGACAAAGAGTTATTTTTTTCCCCCAAACTTTAAAATATAAATATTTGGGGCATCTGGGTGGCTCAGTCGTTAAGCGTCTGCCTTCGGCTCAGGTCAGGATACCAGGGTCCTGGGATCAAGACCCACATCGGTCTCCCTGCTCAGCAGGAAGCCTGCTTCTCCCTCTCGCACTCCCCCCGCTTGTGTTCCTTCTCTTGCTGTGTCTCTCTCTGTCAAATAAATAAATAAAAATCTTTAAAAAAATAAAATAAATAAAATGTAAATATTTAACACTCCACTAATGGAAATGAACAAATCAAATTATACTGAAACTCGTTTGTACAGGTATCCATACATTTACGATTAGTACATCTCACCATATATATTATGTCTTAATGGTCTGAATGCATGTTTATGTCATTTCCCCTGACACACACAAATTCATATGTTTAAACTTAATCCCACTGTGACAGCATTTGGAGGTAGGGCCCTTAGGAATTGATTAGTCATGAGAATGAAGCCCTTAGAATGGGATTAGTGCCCCTATAAAAGAGGCCCCAGAGAGATATGAGGTTACAGTGAAAGACAGCCATCAATGAGGAAGCCAGTCCTCATCCGAACACAGATCTGCTGGTGCCTTGATCTTGAATTCCCCAGCCGCCAGAACTGTGAGAAATAAATTTCTGTTGTTTATAAGCCACCCAGTCTAAAATATTTGTTACAGCAGTCTGGACAGACTAAGACCTACTTCAGTTAAATTTATTTTCAGAAATTAGTGAAACTCTAGAAGCTAAATATCATTGTGATGGACACCCATGTTTTTAAATTCAGCCAAATTTATTTACAAAGCTTGCGTATTTTTTAGCTTTTCAAAACTTGATCTCCACCAATTGTTTTTCTAAACTGTCTTCCAAAGAGTTCTGTTAGCACTGAAAATACCATGCACTATAATAAAACTGGTGTTGACCAATGACTGACCTCTCTGGGGAATGAACAGCAGCTTTTCACTGGTATTTTTTTTTTTTTTTACTATTGTTTAAATATGTTCAAATCTATGAAAAAAGCAATACTTTTTTACTCTGTTGGCATTTTTCTTAAACTTTTAAGGGAAGCATTATCAAAAGGTTTTTCAGAAACTAAGTATTTCTACTAGGTTCCCAATATGAAGCATTTCATTAACTATTTCAAAGAACTCTTAACCTGCCAGGTTGGAACACTATAGTTTTCCTCAGCAATCCACATACCAAAGCTGTTTGAGAAATGTTCTCTTGGCTTGAATCAAGAAGTGAAAGAAAGAGGCAGTTAAAATATTAAACAGTTTCCCACCTATTTCGTTTTTAATTTACTATAGTTCTGAGTGAGTTTACAGTAAAGCTTCAACAGTAGAGTGGTAACAACCCGAACCCATCAGCTATCTACTGGGGCTTAATACCGGACTGGCAACAATGCAGATTCATAGGCTCGTGGGGGTGTCAGCTCTGGGTACACAGCACTACCCAGAAAGAAGGGAATTCCACATTCTGGCTCTGTGATATGCGTCATCATTGGATTTGGAATTGGAAAACCATGGACAACTGTTGATGATGCACCGACCCTATGCCAGGCACTCAATAGGGGTCCTATAATGTTTTATCCCAGTATACCTAATTTGACAATGTAGGTCTTCTCTGATTACCTTAACCACAGGCATCATTCAATCAATCTGGCATAACAGTGCAGAGGGCATGACAATGAAAAACAAGGCAAGAGGCCGGGTACTAGCTCCAACTCTGTCATAATGAGAACTCCAGGCTGGCCAGAGAAGGTTTCAACAAGCCAACCTGCCCTGAGAGATTAGTAGAAATTAATTACAGGTCAAGGAGAAGACATTTCAACTATTGGGTATGATCTGAATGAAGACCAATATAGGAATGGGTATAGCCCGTTCCCAGAATACTAACAATGGCAAAAAGGTGTGTTTGAGAGTAAATATATGGTTGCACAGGTAGGGTGGTACCAGGTCACAGAGAATCCTGAAATTCAGCCACAAGACACTGAGGCTTGAAATATTGGGTCACTATTAATATTTGATCAGTTGGTGTAGACGGTAGAATGGAAAAAGGGAAAAACTATGGTCAAATTTCTCCCAGTTCTGTATAATGAACATTTACTTCTTTAAAAACCTGGGAGGGAAAAACTAAAGCTTAGTTTAAAATGGTTAAAAGACAGGCGGCTGGCTGGCTCAGTCGGAAGAGCATGATCTCGCAGTTGTGAGTTCAAGTCCCACGTTGGGTGTAGAGATTAAATAAATAAAACTTTAAAATAAATAAATAAATAAAATGGTTAAAAGAAAAAGGTAAAAAATGGGGGAGGGGGCTGGGCCAAATGGGTGGGCTCTTTTGCCTTTGATATCAAATTATAATGTCAAATGAAGATGTAAATAAAATGGGGATATCCTGAAGGGATATTCTGAACAAGTATAACTTAGAACACTTACATGCATTCTCTAAGGTGGGCGGTGGTGGCTGAGAAGGCAAGAAGAGCATTCTAAGCAAGACACCGAGGGGAAAGAACTCAAATTTAGTTCAGAAATAATCAAACTTTTTTTTTTTTTTTTTTAACACAGAGACAGAAACAAAGGCTGAAAGACAGGTTGGGAACACATCATGAAAGGTGAACATTGGAAAATTAACACTATATTGAATCTAATGCCATAAACAAATGGAAGACATTGAAAGTTTTATTTTTTTTTAAAGATTTTATTTACTTATTTGACAGAGAGAAACACAGCGAGAGAGGGAACACAAGCAGGAGGAGTGGGAGAGGGAGAAGCAGGCTTCCCGCCGAGCAGGGAGCCCGATGCGGGGCTCGATCCCAGGACCCTGGGATCATGACCTGAGCCGAAGGCAGTCGCTTAACGACTGAGCCACCCAGGCGCCCCGACATTGAAAGTTTTAAACCTGGGAAGTATATTACTAGTGCCCTAGTATTCTAAAGGTAAATTCAAAAGTTCTTCAAGCCATCTAAATACTCAGGTATAAGCAATAGCTAATCTAAGTTTCAGTATCTACTTAAAACTACTCTAGTTGGCCACGTTACCACTGTAAAACAAAAAACTCATGATATCTGGAAGCCAAATTCAACAAAGAACTCAATACAGATTAACAAGAAAATATATGACTCATGTAAATATTCAACTTACCCAGTGTGGTAAGTTTAAATCCTGACTCCTAAACAAAAATTTACTTTAGGTCCTCAATGCCTTTATACACATATATGAAAAAGATATGGTATTGACTAGTTAACACAATTAACCACCAACAGAGGTATTGCCTATAATCTACAAATTGCCTATGGTATCATATCCCTGGTACTATTTTTCTGATTATATGGACCATTATAACAAACTGACATCTTACTTGCTCCCCCTTCCCAAGTAAAACTGACACATATATTCAAATAAATTTATGAGCCCTCTGCCTAGAATACCATTCCCTCCATTCTCACCTAGCTAGCTTCCTCTACCCACCCATTGGTATCCATTTAAACATTCTCTATGAATCTTTCCTTGATACCCCATATACATTCAGTGCCCCTGTTAATGTACTCCCTCAACGCCCTGTGCTGCTTCTGCTGTCAAGACTATTATAGAGAAAAATAAAAGGAATAAATGAAAGTCAATATTTAGTGCTATTACCCTCCCCCTACTCAACTCTGAACATACTAGCAGTTAGGTTTATGCTCGCCTAAGCAAAAGACTGGAGGATTCATTTCTGCAAAAACTGCCCAGGCCAAGAAAAAAGACCCACAGACACTGAACTTGGAGTCTTTCAATGAAACGACCTAGCAAGATCACTCTATGGTTTATAAGCCCATCCATGTCCAGAAAGCTTCTGATGAGCTTCTTACTGCTACAAAGCTTGGAGGAAATGTACAAGACAACCCTCACTTCTGATACCAATTGCAAGCTTGTGGGGCATGGATCCCCAAGACCACCTCAGATTTGGTAATTTACCAGAAGGCTTACAGAACTCACCAAAAGCTAGAAAACTGTTATACTCATGGTGATAGTTTATCTCAACAAAAGGATATGGATTAGATTCAGCCAAGGGAAGAGACATATGAGGCAGAGTCCAGGAGAGTTCCAAATGCAGAGCTTCCAGCTGTCCTCTCTCGGTGGAGCAATGTACAGCATTAACACCTCCTGGTAGCAATGTGTGAGAATATGCAGAGTACTGCCAACCAAGGAAGCTCACCTGAGCCTTGGTGTCCCGAGTTTTTACTGGGGGTTGGTCACAAAGATGTGGTCAGTCTCCAGCCCTTTGCAGTAAGAACTGAGACCACTTGACCCAAAGCATTCAACATGAACCACACTGTTAGACTATCTGGCATGGCCCAAAGCCCCCAAATAAACAAAGACACTCTACAAGGCAAGACATTTCAGGAGCTTAAGATTACCTCATATGGGCCAAGGGCGAGAGAGACACCTCTTTGGACAAGACTAAATTCTTTACCACACAAGTGCCTCATTCTTAAATATAAATGGACAAAAAAGGATTGCCTGATATATGAGGAAAGCTTCTAATAAGAAAGATGCAGAATAAAAACAACTGGAGGAGAGTAGAGAGAAGAGAGTGGAGGCCACTTAGAGGAAATGAAACATTGTAGGAAGCAGAAGAAAACCTGAAGTTTCGTAGGAAGCAGAAGAAAACTTGAAAATGACTGTAAGTAACATCCTCATCCACTAAGGAAGAAAAGAAAGCTATTAAGAAAAGAAACATTTGGGGCACCTGAGTGGCTCAAATCAGTTAAGCATCTGCGTTTGGCTCAGGTCACGATCCCGGGGGTCCTGGGATCAAGCCCCACATCAGGTTCCCTGCTCAGCGGGAAGTCTGCTTCTCCCTCTCCCTCTGCTCCTCTCTCCTGCTTGTGCTCTCTCCTTCTCTCTAATAAATAAATAAAATCTTAAAAAAAAAAAAAAGAAAGAAAGAAAGAAAAAGAAACATTTAAGGGCACCTGGGTGGCTCAGTCAGTTAAGCATCCAACTCAATCTCAGCTCAGGTTTTGATCTCAGGGTTGTGGGGTTAAGCCCTGCGTTGGGCTCCATGCTGGGCATGGAGGTTACTTTAAAAAAAAAAAAAGAGAGAGAGAAGAAAGAAAAAAAGAAACATTTATAAAGCTAAGGAGCTCTTAGAAATTAAAAATGTGATGGCAGAAATGAGAAGTTCACACCACCAAAGTACATCACCATGAAATTTCAGAACCCTGAAGACAATGAGAAAATTTTTCCACCTTCCATAAAGAAAAATAAAGGAGATCACATTATATGATAGGGATAAGAATAGGAACAAATTTGGGTGCCTGGGTGGCTCAGTTGGTTAACTGCCTTCAGCTCAGGTCATGATCCCAGGGTCATGGGATCGAGCCCCGCATCGGGCTCCCTGCTCAGTGAGGAGCCTGCTTCTCCCTCTCCCGCTCCCCCTGCCTGTGCTCTCCTGCTGTCAAATAAATAAATTAAATTAAAAAAAAAAAAAGAATAGTAACAAATTTGTCAATAGGAACACTGACAGAGTCTAGAATACGGTAGACTTTGGGGAAGATGGCAGAATTGGAAGATCCTAAGCTTACCTCCTCCCACAATACAACTAGATAATACCCACATCAATGTAAATAACCCAGAAAACAACCCAAAGACGGGCAGAACAGACTCTCCACAGCTAAATGCAGAGAAAAGGCCACACAGAAGAGGGTAGAAGGGCAGACCACCAGACTGTCCTCAGGAGGGAGAGACATGCAGATGCAAAGAGGGGAGAAAGACAGACCTTCCCACCAAGCACCCCAGGTACAGGGAACCCAGACCAGGAAAATGAATCCCCGTAACATTTGGCTTTGAAAACCAGACGGGCCTAATTTCATGAGTCCTTACAATCAGCAGGGCTTAACACCTGGCACTTTAGAAATCAGCAGGCTCAGCTCTGGGAGAGTCAGAGGGCAGCAGGGAGAGGAAACTGAGTCCTGGCCTTGGAAAGAGGGCACAACAAGCAGCCCCTGGGGAGATACAGCACAGAAGCAGCAGTTTGAAAATGCCTGGGGTATGCGGAAGGGAGATTTGTTTACTAATCTCAGAAAGTGTGCTGGAGAGGCAGGGATCCTTGCCAGACTTCTCCAAGAACCAAAGAGCTAGTGGTCGCCATTTTCCTCCTCTGCCCCCCACCTAGACACATGGACATCGGTAGGAACCAGCACCGGCCAATGCTCTCCACCTCACTTGTTAACAGCACCCCACCCCCACATTCTCCTGTGCACTGGCCACCTCCAGCCAGGTCTCCTTTCCAGACCCCGCAAACCTTGCTAACACTATGCACTCCCCCCCCCCCCCGCATTCTGCTGAGGACTTGCCACACCCTTCCAGTCCTGCGGCATGGGTTTCCTAAAATGGCTCCAGGTCCCCTCCCACAGCAGACCTATACAAACCCTGCTAACACTGTGTACCACAGACCAGCATTCACCAGCAGACTTGCCCCCTCCAATACAACCCTGGTCACATCCCATCTAAAGTGGTG